CCAAGTAATAGGTGTATTTTAGATATTATAATTTTATGTAGTGAAATAAAGGAAATTTGGGTTACCCGAAATTTAAACACTATGGATATTAAAGGTTAAACTGGAATATTGTAATTAAAAATTAGGTAAAATTTAATACAGGATATGGATATGTATAAGTAAAAATATAATGATAAATGTTTTAACTGAGCTTGTTATAATTAGAAATTTACTAGCTTAAATATGATATAGCAAATGTTAAGGGATATAGAGAAGGATTTTTTTTGGTGATGATGTAACCTGAGATATGTACTAAAGATTTTGTTATTTTTTTTCCAAACAATTTTATTGATTTTTCCCTTTTTACACCAGAAAGCTTGAGAAACAACGTGGAGATAGGGTAATCAGTTAGGTACAATAACATCATACATATATAGCTCAAATAATGCTCCTTAAAATTTCCCTCTCTAATAATTAGAATAGTATAGTCAAACTAATACATTTCTAGGTAAGATTAATTCATTAATACATTCCTAAATAAGAATTCAATTAATCAATAGAAATTATCAACATTTCATCGATGTAATCAAACCCTGTTTTTAGGCTTATTAATTTCCAAATACCATATCTAACTTAGCCTTAAAAAATATTATTTACAATTCAGGTGTCCATAATTTCTCTTATTTAAGCATATTATTTCCATAATTACATTCTTACATTTCTCAACTATATTCTATTTCTTATTCAGTAATTCTTCATTTATTAATTTCATCTCTTCCATCATTACAATCTTTTTATCATTATAGCTCCACAAATTAGCTATCATATCTAATAATAAAAAAGTATAGGAAAAATAGAAAAAAAATAATAGAAAGAAACAAAAAGAGACCAAGAAAAAGAAAGAGAAAAGAAGGAAGATCTATTATTCCAAAAAATATATTTGTCAGAAATATATTTCTTCCACCATGCTGTACTGACGTCTCTGCAACCTTAATAAATGCTTTTAGGAGAAAATATGCCTGAAAGTCCTTTTAAGTGTTTCGTTAATCAGACACATGACAATATTCTTACTATATTTCAATATAAATCTTATCCTAAAAACACCTTTTTAAAATCCAAATCCAAATCAATCCACATCTCTATAAAGCCGTTGCAACCCATAAATGCAATCTTAAATTCCATATTTATATCTTATTCTAGCTTTCTTTCTGTTCCAAATGGGTTTCCATAGTAAAGCCTCTAAGTCCACAAATAAAACTCCCTCCATTTCTTGCCGTAACGCATAAATCAGGGGAGAATCTCCCATTGTCCATTTTAATAGGCTAGTGAAAAAGTTGTAGCGATTCTCAATAGCTCGTGGTTGAACATCCATCTTCATCTTTTTTGAAGTTGCGTCTAGTTTAATTACAGTCATTTTTGAACCATCCAAAGTCTCAATAGATTGTCTATAAAATAATGTAGAGTCTTCTTTAATATTATTTTGCTTTCCTCCTATTGGTTTTTTATCTGTCAGGTAATCAGTTGGAATCTGGAGATCAGCCTGCCCTTCTGGGGTAACATCCTTAGTTTCCGTGCTAAGCGTCATTTGTTCATTAGCATCAAAAGTTTTTTCTGGTGTAGGTTGCTAGTCCTGATGTAAATTTAATTCCTCCATCTCAGTAAATTGTGAATAAGGTTGAAGATGGGTCTCTTGAGTATATACCCCTTCTGCTGTTTCTTGGCTTACAAAGTGCTCACTTACATCTTGCACTTTAATTTGTCGTTGAAAAATAATCTCTTTTGTATAGGCAATTATTTGTTCAGTATTTTCAAGAATTTTGTCCAATGAAATCTGGACAGAGTTCCTCCATTTCAGTAGTATATAAAACCATTATTCTTTTGGTGGAGGCTGTATTTAATAACAATCAGTCAATATCCGCTTCCACCCAGCTATACAGCTTCTTTATCTTTCCCTTTTGAGATAATTTGAAGGTCAAAGTCAAACTCAAGAGTCCAAAAAAAAGGAATAACAATTGCAGTAAATAATTTCACCACAAGATGTCCCCAAAGGGTTAACCAGTTGTTCAGTCTTTTCAGACCCCCAATAAAAATGATTTCTTCCCTCTTTTCCTTTTTTCCTTCTTTTCTTTAGTTATAAAAATAGTAGAAAATAAAATAAAATAAAAAATTCCTCCAAACTGCTAGCATATTAAGTTTCTGTAACAAGGATTCTAGGACTCCCAAATATTCAAAAATAAAATCAACCATTGAAAAAGTTAAAATTAATTTTTCTTTTGTTCCAAGGCTTTCCTTCCCCTATCAACAAAGCTGCTTTAAAAAGATAGGGAAATGATTCCAAAGGCTTTTCACAGGAATAAATAGGAAAGGGAGAGGCAAGGAAAGGTCTCAACGAATCTACCACGGTGGTTCTATTTCGCTTAGATGTTCTTGTGGCGTACGGCTGGTGCAGCTAAGTGATCGGTCATTTTACTGACCGATTTTTACTCCGTCGGCCCAAAGGAGCTCGCTTGGACAGCAGAGGGCGCCACCGCCCCTCTGCAGTCAAACAGGCAGCCTCCTCAACAGTGGTCGCCCCTCCAGGGTGACTTTCGACCCAACTAAGGGTCTACCGGCGGGGGAAACTTGTTCGGCAAAGAGACGAAGCTCTGCACGACCGCAGCGCTGCGACCCGGAACCGGAAGCCAAGATTTTGTTATTGTACTATTGATTACCCAATCACCATGCTGCTTTCCAAATATTCAAATGTAAAACTGGAAAACCAATAAAAACTTGTTATAAAAAAAAGATCATTCTGAATTTTATGCCCATCTTCTAAGACAGGGCTTTTCAACCGGTGATACGCGTACCACGAGTGGTACTTTGGCACATGGCAGGTGGTACATGACCTTCCTAGAAAAGTGTAGCAGGGGAGGGGAATGAGCTGAAGCGACCCAAGCCTGAGGAAAAGGCAGCTGGAGCTGCAGGACTGTTGGGGCTTGGCAGAAGCCCCAGGATCGCTGCAGGGCTCCAGCTGATTGGCTCCAGCTGATTGGCGCTTCTGGAAGTAGCGCAGAGCTGGAGGTGAACTGAAGAAAACGGGGGGAGGAGAGGAGAGGATATAAAAGAGGTGGTTTTGGCAGGAAAGGGGGAAAAAGACAACAGGGAAAAAGAAGGGGATGGAGAAGAAGCTGTTGGAAGGAGAGCCCAGCAGGCAAGGAGGAAAAAGAGACAGGGAAGAAGAAGTTCATATTCTCCAGCTAGGAGAATGCAATCAGCACTAATGAAATGACAAGCCGGAAGTTGAGCATGTCAGAAAGGATGTTGGTTTATTTCGGAAGCCAATAGGTTCTGGGTTAGCTGGCAGCTTGATCAGGTTACCATAAGGACTTTTATACAGTTTTTACAGCATTTCGTAATTCAGAGGCTAGGTTTGTGTGCTTGGTTATTGGAATATTTTAGTTTGTTTCACAAAGTCTAGCAATGAATCCAAAATGTTCACTTCTGTAGGTTTTAAACAAATGTAATTAGTTTTACCTCCTTATCTTGAGTCTGTCTATGGCTTTTAGCAAGATTGCTTTGTAGGTAAACAGGCTTAATTTAAGATTATCACTTTTCGAAATTGCTGGAACTTTTCAGGCTCTGGTTGCAACATTGTTTAAACTGAGGAATGCCTGAGGCTATTATTTGACAGCTTGAAGAAAAGAAAACGAAGTTAGTGTTTCTTTATTCTGGGAGGCTTTTGTGAGCCTTTCTTGCTTTGTGCTTGATTCCTGTGTCTTTAGGGGTACAGTGCAGGATTGGGGGGTGCATTCTTACTACACTGTGGAAGGAAAGCCCAGAAGGCAGAGAGGAAGGAGAGAGAGGAAAGGGAAAGAGGGCCGACCAGCCGGCTGACCACCAGGGTAGTGGTGCATATTAATAAATATGGATAAATTCATCATACATTTGTCAGTGCAAAGGGAAAGTGATTCAGCAAAGGAACAGCCCCCGAAGAAATTAAAACTGGTACTTTTTTCCTTTTTTTTTCTACAGTTTGTAACATTTTATTAGATTATAGAATAAAATACAAAAATACAAAAGCAAATAGTAGGACACAGTGGGGAGGAAAAAGGGGGGGAAAGTGAGGGGGAGAAGGGAAAAAGAACAGACTTCCTCTGTTGCAGTAGAAGGAAGCATTAACATTGAACCTCAACTTTTTACTTTTCCATATTATAAACTAGCCATTTCTATAACAACAAATGAATCTAATCAGTAAAACCCAACCCCCCCTTTTTTTAGTCATCAAGTTTTTGATACCTTGCTAAGCACTGGTGTTACTCAAATATTGTGATATCCTAAAAGTGGTACAATCTATGAAAAGGTTGAAAAGCCCTGTTCTAAGGCTTTAGTTGCCCTATCTAACTATTTGGTATCATTGGCATATTTATTAAGTATTTTCTCTACCTTTGTATTCACATCTCTCATTGTATTCACATATTCACTCATTTATTAAAATATTGATCATGCAAAAATCATACTTATGACATATGAAGCTGCAATTTATTCTAGCTTTCCTTTCTTCTTGTGGTGTTTCCCTTGAATTATTTTTAGTTGTTTTTCCTGTCTTTGGGAAGAGGGAGCTCTCCTAAAAGCATTAGATTTAAAAAATCTAGAAAATGTTCTAGATCTATGAAATGTTCACAGTGTGATATTATAAATTGCTGAAACAACTGTGGTATCTGATTGTTTTTAGCCAAAAAAAGAAGACCCAACTGCACTACCATCTTTTTCATGGATTATAAAGTACTTCCTCAAAGATACTAAGATGTCCTCTGAATATGGTCAAAACGTTGAGATGGCAGCTGTGATAATGGTCACACATGAAAAAAACAACTTCTTCTATGCAGTGTTACAGCTGCCATCTTGACTTCTTTGACCATATCCCACAGACAACTGATTCAGAGCATGGCCCTGTTTTATGGGTTTGGTTCAGCTCTCCCCTCTCTTCTCAAGCAAAATGGCTCTTCTTTGTGGTGGGTGACTTAAGGACTGAGGGTGCTCACCTTGCAAGTGGTCAGAGACCTCACAGGTCAGCAGCCATTTCCCAACATTGTGAGGGACCATTTCAGCTGCCACGAAGGTTGCTGGGAAAAGGGAGGCCACATCAGTCCGGTGTCCTCGGCTGATCAGTGTCTGTCCATGGAAGAAGGCAGTGTGGACATCAATCTCACTGCCCATCCCAAAGAGATGCCACGAGACCCGATCTCCGGCACATACTGTGATCTCAGGGAGGTTCCCGAAGACATAACCATTAATGGCTGCAGAAAGAAAGAGGAAAGTCACAGTGGGAGGAGGTTCAGGGGTTAACCCTTGGATAAGAGAGGACAGGACTGGCATGGGTCCTTTCCTTTAAAAAAAAGAATTGTAGTTGCATTTTTCTAAAAAAACCAATGCCTCTTAATAACAGTTAATAACAAATATACAGTATTGTAAACTATAGATTATTATAAAACAAATCATATGCTTAAAAATAATCAAAATGTTTAAAAAGCCCACCAAAACAAAACCAAGAAACAAAGGGAAAAAAAGACATAGCCAAAAACAAATAAAACACAAGAATACCATTCAAATTTTAAAATCATATTACCATTCTAAAGTTTCAAGTATTAACACACTATTAATACCACTCCCTTTTAAAGTAATGAATTGGACCACATGGATTCCTATTGTCTAATCTCATCTCTCCCTTGAGGAAAAGCCAGATAAGAGGTGACAGATTGCATGAAGCCAACTTTTAGAGTCTGAAGTACAAACTTCTTTCCAGGAATACACAATCACCTTCTTTGTATGGGTCCAAGCACAATATTTTCCAAAGGTCTTCATACACTGAGAATTTCCAAATGTTTACAGTATAATTTAATATCACTTTAACATTTTTACGCTTAACTTCCTTCAAGGAATCAATTCACTACAATACTATTTTACCAGTGAAGAATTGCTAGTTGACATGTCCATATTCTAAGGTTCCTTTACATCTAGGACCTAAGAAGGACAATAGCCGACTAATAAACTTTCCGGATATTTTTTGTTAAGTGGGATGTTATGGTTCCAATTGATAAGACCAGTAGAAATAAGAACTCTTGAGGCAATTGCTTTCCTCAAAGAATACTTTTAATGGCTACATAGTATCGGCACGAACAAAGGTGAACCCAAGACTGAAAGTTCCCACCCCCAAAGGTTGGAAAGTAAAAGTTGAACGCCCCACCCTTCAGTTGTCATAAATCACAATCCCCAATTAACTACTTTGGCGGGCTTTCTAACGGTAGCTCCAGCCTGCCAAAACTTAGGCAGCTTGACCTTGGTTCCCACAAGAAAGTCTTTGTTATGGCTAAGTTGCCACCCATGGCTGTGGCAACTGAAAACAAAGTAAAGATGGCTGCAGACAGAATCGTCTGAAGGTTGACAGTTGGATCCGCTAAAGAAGAGAGAAATCCTGTAGGTAGCAAAAGGAGTTAGAATCAGGAATCATCCCTAGGCTTATTCGGATATTTATCATAAAATTTACATATTAATCTATCAGCTTTTACATCAGCTCTTTTTACCCAGGTGGCCTCTGATAGTGGATAACCTTTCCACTGCACTAGATACTGTTACTTTCTCTTGTACAACCTAGAAAAGTGATGGCGAACCTTTTAGAGACCGAGTGCCCAAACTACAACCCAAAATCCACTTATTTATTGCCGGGTGCCAGGAGGGTGTGGCCCCCTGGGTGGGCGTGGCTCCAGTATTCGAGTACCACCAGTCATCTAGCAAGTGTGAAAAACCTGACCCCCGCCCCCAAAAAGGAAAAAAGTGATAAAAGTACAGGTAGTCCTCGACTACAACAATTCACTTAGTGACTGTTTGAAGTTACAAGAGCAGGAGGCAGTGCCAGCTGCCAAACGGAATGGCTGCATTGAGACGGCTCTCCGAATAAGTGCGCTGATTCCACAGCTGCTTCTCTGTGCCCGGTGGGCTTTTTAAAGCCCCCAATCCCTTGGAGGGAGATTGGAAAAGGAGGCGCCCAGCAGAGCGATCCCGGACGGCAGTCCAAACCGTAAGAAGCAGGAAAGCCTCAGAGAAGCTGAGAGGGAGGAGACGGCTGAAAATGGCGGCCGTAAAGAAGTGACAGCTGTCAGCTGGACAAAGATAGTGGTGATTTAGCGGGACAACGATACAACAAATCTGGTGATGTGAGTACCCAGCGAGTCTTTGAAAGTGATCCGGAGTGTTAAATCATTCTGGAGAATTTCAAAGAAGAAAAGAAGAGAAAGGAAACCCTAGAGCGAAAGGGGTAAAACTACCTCCCCTGTGAGATAGCGGCGATAAGGAGCACGGGGGAAAAAGAGGCTTTACCTTAAAGCAGTGGTGGCGAACCTATGGCACACGTGCCAGAGGTGGCACTCGGAGCCCTCTCTGTGGGCATGTGCGCCATGCCCCAGAGATGGCAACCGTCCTTCTTCAACCAGCTTCCCGCTAACTCGCCGAGGTCCCACATGGCCAGATGCATCCCAGCATGGCTGGTTTCCCTCCCCCCTGTCCCATCCCTCCTGGCATCACATGCTCTCCTTTTCCCGGGCATGACCCACTGCAGCGCCTCCTCAGCTGTTGGCCATCTGTCCAGCTTAGAGGCGGCTTCTCTGAACTTCTTGTGGCGGGTTGCGGAGCCCCAGAGTGCGCCGGTCGAGGGGCTGGCAGGCTGTGGCTGCTGACAGACACTGTTGGCCCCCATGCGCTCGCTGACCTCTGTGTGTGGGGGTCGATGGTGTCAGGAAGCAGCTGCCCCAGCCCCTGCCTCGCCTTGCCCTGCGACAATGGCACCCCAGCCCTGCCTCACCTCACCCCGCAGGACGAGCCTCCTGCCCACTGCCCCACCAGCCAGAGACTCCTGGATCTCCCCCAACCCTGCCCAGTTTCCACAGGCATCCCTCCCCATGAGCAACATCGAGGTGACCACGCCCACCTTGGCCACACCCACCCAGTCTGCCATGACCACCACAGCTACGCCCACCCAATGGGCCACACCCACCTGGCACCCGGTGATAAATAAGTGGGTTTTGGGTTGCAGTTTGGGCACTCGGTCTCTAAAAGGTTCGCCATCACTGCCTTAAAGCAACAGATTTATAAGCTATAAAGGATTAACGGATAAAAGGGTGTTTCTCTTTCTGGCTCTTTCAACAAAGGTAAGAAGAAAATTAAAAACTTGAAAAGCGAAAGTGCTGACTGAGCAGATAGAGCGGTCATTTTGAATAGGAACGGAGGACTGATTGATATTAAACGAGGGAAGAGAGACACCTACAAGTTAAGAAGAAAACACGCATAGAAATAAAGTAAAGAAACTGCCCTAAAATCACTCCAAAAAATAAAAAGGACAAGCTGTAGTTGAATTGAGGACCCAGGCAAATAAGAATTGATTGAATATAACCTATTACATGATTGAACTGGAAGAGACTAACTGGAAGAGACTAACTAGGCACAAAAGGCTGAAAACTTAAAGAAGGTGACAAAAATCACATATTTGTCTACCTTGCTGATCACGTCAACCCCTAAGAGATTAAGAGATTAATTGTAAAACTTGGACTGTATTGCTAATGAATTGAACATCTGCTATAATATTTAGACGAATCAACTGTTATACTATTATTATATACAACTATTTAGATAAATTAGATTTGCAGTGGAATATGAGCATTTGAAACTGATAAATACTTTAGCCTGTTAATTACTGTATATTAAAAGTGCCAGTGTTAGAGGCTTTATATTGTGTTAGTAACAGAACATAATATTGTTAAGATATACGGTATCAGTGATTATAATATTAGAAGAATAGCAAATCTTTCAGGTGTGGTGGAAGAAAAGACAAAGATTGTACATAAGTGGGAGGGCTGGTTGACATCATTCCAAAAAATCACAAGCATTCCCAACTTAACAAAAGTTGGGACTGGAAGAAGGCAGATAACTCAAACAATATCGGCGGATCTAAGCCCAGCAGAGCAAAGATCGATAGAAGAAATGATACCAAGGGAAAGAGCAGGCTCACTTAAAGACCTACAATCAATGTTACAATCAATGCAAGAGGTCATGTTGAGAAACCATGAAGACCTGAAAAAAGAAATAGGTGAAATAAGGAATGACACCGGAGAACTCAAAGAGAAGATGGGAGCAATGGATGGGAAATTTGAATGCTTCCAACAACAAATACTGAAAAATGAACAGAAATTATTAGAAATGGAAGATAGAATGAATAAGGAGGAAAGAAGAGTAGATGAAATGAACGGAAGACTCTCACAAGCAAACAAAGAATTGGAAAAAACTGTTATCTTGCTAGAGACAGAGAAAGCAGATCACTACTTACGTTTTCAGAACGTGAAAGAAGAGAAGGGGATCTCTCAGAAACGATGACAGATATGTTAGCGAGAGCTTTAGAAATCGAGAAAGAGATGGCAAATGAGATAGATGAAATATATAGAATACACACAAATTATGCAAGAAGAAACAACTTATCTAAGGAAGTGCATATTAGATTTGTCAAGAAATCAGTCAGAGATGAGATCCTGCATAGAACTAGAGATGACCCAATAGAATATAAAGGAAAACAACTAACAGGTGACTAGCAATAGGGAGAAAGCAGAACTATTTAACTCGTTTTTTGCATCTGTCTTTACACAAAGGGAAAAAACAGGCCAACCTATCAAAAATAGTGCCATAAAAAACAGAATAGAAACACAAGTTAAGATAGGCAAGAAAATGATAAGTGAGCACCTGTCCAGCCTAGACGAGTTCAAATCACCAATGGATTACACCCCAAGGTTCTCAAGGAACTGGCAGATGTGATCTCAGAACCACTGAAGTATATTTTTCAAAGATCTTGGAGAACTGGGGAACTACCAGAGGACTGGAAAAGAGCTGATGTAGTTCCCATCTTCAAAAAAGGAAAAAAAATGGATCCAGGAAATTACAGACCTATCAGCCTGACCTCAATAACTGGGAAGATTCTGGAAAAGATAATCGAACAACAAATCAGCGATCACCTAGAGGCAAACAAAGTCATTACTAAAAGCCAACATGGGTTTGTCAAAAACAGATCATGCCAGACAAACCTTATTACATTCTTTGACCAAGTGACAAAATTAGTGGATCAGAGGAATGCTGTGGATATAATTTACTTGGACTTCAGTAAGGCATTTGATAAAGTAGATCACAACCTACTACTCGATAAGATAGGGTTAGACAGCATCACCACCAGATGGATTCGTAGCTGGCTGACCGGCCGTACTCA